TACATACACACACACACATATATATATTGATTTAAGAGAGGGAGAGGAGGGAGAGAAAGATAGAAACATCAATGATGAGAGTAATGGATCAGCTGCCTCCTGCACACCCCCCACTGGGGATCAAGCCCGCAACCCAGGCATGTACCCTGACCGGGAATCTAACCATGACCTCCTGGTTCATAGTTCTATGCTCAACCCCTGAGGCATGCCAGCCAGCTGGGCTACCTCTTCCTCCTTCTAAGATTCCCCCTTATCTTTTACCTTCCTGTTAGCTGCAGACACATCTACACACTCCCTTCCATAAACCCCCCAGGAGCTAGAGTCTCAAGCTGGGAGGGACCCAGACAATTCCCTGGAGAGACCTCTCCCACCTTCCACCTTGGGATGCGAAGCCAGCCAGGGCCAGTCTGGCGTGCACGTCCCCCAGGCCTCCACCCTCCCTCCCCAGATGAGGCTGGTGGTCCTGGGGACTTGGGTCACAATTAGTGGTGGCGCCGGGGCCCGCCCTCAGGTGTCCTCTTGTCTGCCCAACTTTTTTGCCTAGATACCTCTTTTTTTTTTTCACGTTTCTTATTTTTTATTTCAACATTTAAAATATTCACAGATGTAGTAGTATATTCATTGGCCTCTCCATGGAAGATGTACCCAACAAAGCATACAGGTATTCCACAGTTACAGAAGTACATGTGTGTGACTATGTAAAGATTTTACTCCTAGAATTTATCTGGAAAACCACCACTAAAAAACAAACAAACAAAAACCCACACAGCCCTAACCCGTTTGGCTCAGAGGATAGAGCGTCGGCCTGCGGACTAAAGGGTCCCAGGTTCGATTCCAGCCAAGGGCATGTATCTTGGTTGCGGGTACATCCCCAGTGCGGGGGGTTGCAGGAGGCAGCTGAATCGATGTTTCTCTCTCATCGATGTTTCTAACTCTCTATTCCTCTCCCTTCCTCTCTGTAAGAAATCAATAAAATATATTTTAAAAAACACACACACACAAAAAAAACTTTTGAGTGTTTCACTGGATTTCCATAAAAAGTGAGTATCAGACTATCAAGAGAAATACCTAAATATTAGCCAGCACTTTTGTACTATTTCAGACTTTCATATACTCTTTCAACATACCCATGTCATCAGGAACACTTAATTCTCAATTATTTTTCTTTTTCCCTCAATAGCCAAAGCCAAGATGTATATACTTTTTATTTTCATAATCTTTTTTCCAAAAATATTCTGGAGAATAGGTTGATCACCGGATCTTGACTAGCTAATGAGGTAGGAACAGTCTTCAAAAGACGTTCTTAAGCATTTATGAGGCAAAACAAAAGAGAATAATCAAATTACATGCAGTTTTTCTTGTTTAGTGGTGGTTCTTTTCATAAAATGCCAAGAGCATTGGAAACTGGTCACATGCTACTTGTATGTAAAAGTCAGAGAGTAAAACCCCATGAGAAAGCCCTCTGCCGAGCACATGCCGGGGCCGGTGGTGGTAAGTCCATGTTGGCATCACACGGCAAGAAACGGCTGCCCCCAAAATGCCAAGCTTTCCTTCTGAGTGATCTTACCAAAAAGATAAAGTTTAAACAGAAACAAAAGTACCCTTTCTTTCAATAGGAGTTAATTTGGCTCTTATTTTAACCCAGATTTCATCCTTCCCTACACACACACACCCAGAAAAAAAGATTAATAATTTCTATGTACTGCATATCCAGTAGCATTATTTAAATGAATTTAGCAGTCGACTTACCAAATTCTGCCAGAGAAGCCCTCCTTATATGAAGGTTTAACAACGTGCACTAAACAGCTGGAAAATGCCTGGGTACTAACAGATTCCAGCACCATCTCTCTATTAGCAGGTTGTTTCAAAATGCACACACCCTTAAATTCCTGTAAACCTAGGAAAGTCAACAATGATCCCCTCTCCTTCTACACCAAAATCAAAGTTCTGTGTTCTAACTACCCTTTCTGTATATATAAGGAATATTTTTCAAATCTACCCAATCAAGTTAACAGGACATGTTTCTAAAAAAGGGGAAAGTTAATCAATCAAGTATGCATTGATATAACAAAGCAACCCCCTTAATAAAGTTGACAATTAGCTTCACTCAGAACATTTTTAATAATGCACATTAAAAAAAAAAGTATTCTTACAAATTGTTCTGCAATCGAAATATACAATAGCCTGGAAAACAACATTTAAAAACCAAAGCCAATGTAAGAAGACAGGTTAAAACAACTAGGACAGTACAGGTTTATATGGCTCAGATTTCACGGTTTTCTCACTGCATCGTCAATGTCAGAAATCTGTTCCTTCAGCTGGCTCCATTGCTCCGGGTTTAAGGAAATACCTTTTCTTCCTGGCTTCATTTCACCTTCTGGATCCATCCAATATCCTCTAATATTAATTACTTTTCCTTTAAAGTCCCGTACGCTGACGTGCCTCATTTTCCCAGTCTGGAACATGTCATCCCTGCTGCTAGCTGCTCTGTTGATGACAGGGCTCTTGACGTCTCACCAGTCTTTTGCTTCTTTACAGGCTTTTCTGAAGCAGCTTGCTTTTTCCTCTTTAACTTTTTGTCAACTTCACCGTCAGAATCGCTGCCAGAAGAGCTTGAAGAAACAAGTTCCTTTGACTTAGGCA